TGGGTACGCCGATTTTATTTTTGTGTACGTGTTCTGTAACTCTAGCGGCTTCTCGGGAGTATCAAGGTAGATTTCCTAACAGACGCCAATCAAAGATTTTTACGCGTTCATTTCTAAGGTTTCAGCAATATGGAGTTGCCAAACTTCTCTGAGTTATAGCTCATGGTGTCCGGCATACTGATCAATAAGAACTGGAAGTGATTAATTTGGCGTTGGATGATCCTAGTACAAGTACTAGGCGGATTGCAACCCAGTTATCAATGTTCACAAAGTCTTGCGTGGAGAACTTTTCATCGGGAAGTTTTACATGCTTATCATCGGCAAAATGTGCAATATCTGCAACTGGCCTACGAAGTGCAACGGCGAAATTTTTGTAGGTGGTGAGTAACCGCATAATCAAAATGCAGATTTTATTGATTTCGTTTTGTGATCGGATGAATCGCTTTTCTTCGAGGAGTGGAACCTTTAATTCTCATAATGAACATATTTGGTCGTTAGAAAATCCACTCGTTTCAACAACACAAATTTTCTAGAAACGCCTGTTTATGCACGTATTGTTGCAACGTTCAACTGCTAACTCATACTTATCTTTTCTACAGAATTACATAGAAAATGTGTTAGATGATTTTCCGTTAGCAACGAGAGTACGAATGTGGTATCAATACGACGGTGTCCCACCGCTTGTTTGTCCTGGCATAAAGGCATGGTTAAATAATCGTTTTAGACAAGGATGGATTGGCAGAAACGGACCCGTACATTGGCCTGCGAGGTCTCCTGATTTGAACCCCCTGGATTTCTTTTTGTGGGGCGCTTTTAGATAACTAGTGTATGCTGAACAAATTAATACTGTTGATCAGTTACAAGAAAGAATAGATAATGCGTTTCATCAAATTCAAGCATCAACAAATCTTCGGAAATACGTTTTCCTTTAAAAAAAAAGATGCGGCACTTGTATCCGTCAGAATGGTGGTTTTTTGCACATTTATTGAAATAAAGCAATGCACTCTAGTAAAAAAACACAAGCGTAATTATTTGTAGCAAATTGAAGGCAAAATTCGAAAAATCGCGTGTTCTGAAAAAACACTAAACCCCTGTATCTCCGCCACTGGTGCACGTTGACTTTAAGTCAAAGACAATATTTGGGTATATCCACATACCAAATTTTAGTTCATTCCGGTTGACGGTTTTGATGATATTAAAAAAATGTTTTTTATTTTCAAACTTCAACACGCCCCTTGAGGAAAAAATATTACATAGAAGACCTCCATAAAATGCGGTCCTGAGTATGATGTTTGAGTTTTGGTCACGACTTGAGAATCACTTTGCGTAGAAGAATTTGTTGATATGTTAAGGCAGAAGGTACATAAAAAAATAGCAATATAGGCTCATATAAACACACATCCTAAAAGAGCATTTGGCCGCTACTGTGTACCTAATAATTAATTCCGTTAATTTAAACAACTTGTTAACACGATTGGCTCTAATGAGCTCACACGCTGCCGGACCATATATCGTACATTCACATTTGAATTTGAGTACGGTCATTCTATAGTACGATACAGGAAACAAAGTCGGCTTCAACGGTGGCCTGTCGCTACTGTTGCCTAAAAATAATAGCAATAATAATGTGTCTTCATTTTTCAAAGTAATTATGCATTTGAATAATTAATAATGATGTGAACAAATAGGACACCGATCTGGTTTTAGGCCAACGGACAATGGACACAATACGTCATTATAGAAGGATGAATATCATTCTCGAACTCCATAACTTTTTGACGGTGTGAGTTCACCCAACACCATGAAACACATCATCCTTCTATATCAATTAAGTATATCCAATATTTTATACTTTACCTGTAAGTAAATAAAACATTGAAGGTGCGAAAAATTAAATTTGAACTACGAGTATATTCTCTTATTGCTTCTTAGCGTATAAACATTCAACGTGAAACCAGCTCATCAAAATGCAAAGCTGAACAAAAGGTAACATCAAAAACTAGAGACAACAAATTATTAACTCAGGGTCCCAAACACAGGTGAAAAAATAAAGCATTGATTTCTGAAATTGTTGACCATCTTGTATTTGTTTGTCTATAAGTGATCAGGAGATTAACAGAAATGCGAGAACCAAGACTCTTTGAGTTGTGAAGCGCTACAAAAGCGTTTTGTCTATGCCCAAATAGGCGAAAAGTACAAAAAGAATATCCTAAATATTCTTGTCTGAAGCTGCTACGGGACGGGAGTTGTTAATTCCGTGAACAAAAATTGCGCCAAGTAGGCTGACCTTGCACTTTCATAAGATTAATCACAGTATAAGTTTCGGGTCTCGCATTAAGAGTGTTCTACATTTCTTAATGTGAGTGCAATAGTATCGTAAGTCCGAGAAAGTTTTTTTTGAGATATGCGGATGAAATACTACATTTTATGGCTACTGGTGTGTGAGCAAAACTTACCATAACTCACAATTCAATACATGATTATAATTTTGTTAAGATACTATTATCCTTTATTGCACCACTTATATTAAGAGAGCAAGACTGTCACATCACTAGATGAATTCTGCGACAAAACACTTATATCGCATAGCGAATGATCCGAAATCACATTGAATCCATACCAACAGTGGAATCGCATTGCTTAAGGGCCCAAACAAAAATAAAGTACTTCGAGGGGAATTTTAATTTGAATACATTATACAAACTCTACGTAGATATGTACAAGTAAACCCTTTGCTAAATATCACCAATATGAAAAAATATTTAACTTTGAATATAATATAGGCTTAAATACCCCCAAGAAAGACCAATGCAGTCTATGTGAAACATAAGAATTCGTCGATAGCTGAAAAGGAAGGTATTCAAGAAAACTATGGAGAACATCTCCGTAATAAAACGGCTGTACGAGAAGAGAAGAAAAAAGATACTGCTCTAGCTAAAGAAAATCCAAATCTGATAATCACGGTGTATGATATAGAGGCATCTTTACCTACTCCGTGCTCTTTGGTCAGTGATTCTTATTACAAAAGTAAGCTTGCAACCCTGAATTTTACGATTTATAATATTCCAAATCGAATCGGTTATTCCGCAAAGTTGGGGTTTTCCTTTTCAGAAACAACTACCCTTGAAATAACAAAGGTAATGTGTGTGAAACGAGGGCGACCAAGTAAAAAAAAATAAAGGAAAAAGTACTCACTCTCCATTGATTGTCTTACACTTAATGGCACATCTTCTAACAAGGAAGGCAAAATGTTGCGTAAAAAGACTAGGTATTGCATGCCGTCCAATCGATTTGGGAGAATAAATGGTCCAATGAGCATACCGTTCACCATGCCAGCCCAAACATTCACCGAAAATGTTTGTCGAAAATGTGCCCGACGGACAGCGTGCGGATTTTCTACTGACCAAACATGAGTGTTGCGAAAGTCATTCACGTGAACGTAGATTCGTCTGTCACCAATATGCACTTCAAAAAGTCAGGATTATTGTCATGTTGATGCAACAACCACTCACAAAACCGCACTCTTGCTGGAAAATCGTCAGGTTGAAGGGCTTGTACACATTGGACGTGAAACGGATACAGCCCCTCTACACGCAGCGTTTGCCACACTTTAGTTTTTGATACTTGCAATTCTCTAGCCACGTCTCTAGTGCTTGTTGAGGGACTCTCGTCTACGCGATTACCTCTACACGCGTGACCGTAACCGTCGGTTGAAGGTGGCATACTGACCTGACACACTGACCCCGACCCAGTTCGGTCGTCGGGTTGAGCCAGTGACCTTGTACCAGTCGGTGATGTCGCGGCTACAGGACGGTATTCAGATATTTTTGATGTTGCAGAGCCCTTTATCTCGGCTCCCTTAAGACATTGGTGTATATGGTACTAAGAAAAATTGCTTATGTTTTCAAGATCTACACGTCGTGTAGAGGAAAACCCCAACTTTGCGGACACCCTGTATATGTATGGAGTGAAACAATTGGAAAGCGAAGAGCTAAAGAGATTGGCAGTTCCTTGATCCATTTTTTGAAGAACAGTTATGGGTGTTCAGATGTTATATTTTATTCTGATAACTGCTGCGGTCAAAATAAAAATAGATTCATAGCTACAACATGCCTCTAGGTAGTTAATACCATGGAAACATAAATGCCATTACCGACAAGTCTTTGATTGCCGGTCACACCCAAAATGAGGGGGACAGTATGCATTCTGCCATTGAAAGAGAGAAGCTAACAGCACCTATATACCTGCAAAGTGGATACCCATAATCGCCCTTGCAAAAAGAACTGGCACACCTTATGTTATTAACGAAGTCCAACAACGTGACATTATGATATAAAAACATTAACCAGTCAAGTAGGAAAAGAATTTTCCAAAAACACCAAAAATGAAAAAATTATATGGAATAACATTAAAATACTTCATGTTAGGAAAGATTCTCCACAAAGTATATTTTATAAAACAAGGTTTGAAGCAAAAACATTTGAGGAAATTTCGATTAACCAGTCCAAAAGGAGGAAGATGTCAGAGAGAAACTTAGTTCTTCAAAATACCTACAATGGAAGTCTCGGCATAAGTAAAAAGAAAAAGATGGCTTGCTATATCTTTGCAAAAGCAGTTGATCAATAAAGCGTACCATGAATTCTATGAAGCACTCCCAATTTCAAAGTCTGGTCGGAAACCGAGTAATCATCAGCACTTGGGTCAGTATATATTGAAATGTTTACTGCAACGTTATCTGCTAGTGCATTGTATTTAATAAATTGCTTTTTTCAAAAATTTTGCATCTTATTTTCATTGAGTAAGCAGTATCACATATGGTAAATTTTGTATCATTACCGCCAGTCACTCAGCTGCAAGAATATCTTAACTTCAAATATCTCATTACGAGTATCAGTAAGTTATTTATTGAAACTCAAAGACATCTGCTGACACAATTATCACAAAATCTTCTATTTTTGCCATACGATAGTATTGCTCCCATATTACAATTTATTCCTTACCTATCTCGATCGTAGTACCTATCCCTGTCATAGTACCGGTCCCGGTCATCATAATCCCGGTCATAGTACCGATTTCTGCTATCCTGAGGGTACCTATCGTAGTACCCGGAACCGGACGTTTCGCACCGTATACATCTCTTCCCCACGGTACTCTCATTTGGTGGATCTCTAGTATCGCCAGCAGTTTCCGGTTTTAGTGCCTTGTCTTCATTACTGGTACCACTTCCATATCTACTGGGGTACTTTGAGTCTCTAGGTACTCGCGTCAGAGTTGAGCTTGGAAGAAGGACGTCTTTGAGGATGGCAGCATTGGAAAGTTGGAGAAACAAGGTGGCAGTGAGAAGGATGTGCTTGAGGCTGGTGCTCTGCAAAAAAACATAACATTTAGTGATCAGGGGGGTTGGAATCCGATGCAGAATGTTGCAATATTTGCAGAGCTGAAGTACCGCCATAAATTGACCCTCTCTTTCTTCTGTATGACAGTTTAGAAAAGAAAGTTGTATACAAACGTCGTAAAGCCTAATATAAGGTTTTTCAGTAATATTGTTCATATTCTTTTTTTTATTTTATTTAATACATAATTGCCCAACAGAACTATTCCAATTAGAGGACAATATAATGTTATCTTTACTTATAATACATACGTATAATGTATACATAAAACTGACTTAAAAACAGAATTAGCTATTCTAATAGTACTGAAATTCGACAAGATCTTACTCATACAATCAAAATTAATGTCAGAACTGTCTGCTATGGAATTAAAATTGATGCATATAGAATGCAGCGGAGAATAAAATAAGTTAGAGTTCTTCTCGTATTTAACCGTGGAATACAGAAATTTAACCTCTGAAGAAGCTCTGGTGCATCCAGTCTGTCGTGCAAAAGCTTATGAAGGAATAACAGGCCAGCAGTGGAACGTCTTGACTGTAGAGACTCTAGTTCAAAACGACGCAGCAGAACAAATTGAGAGACCCTTTCTGGATATGTGCCATCGATTTTATAAACACAGTATTTAAGAAACTTTCTTTGTACATTTTCTAAAATGTTTATATAATACGCATAGAAAGGGTTCCATATCAAAGAAGCATACTCAAGTTTTGGTCACACCAGTTAAATAAAAAGAGCTTTTAGTGCCGCTTCGTTGGAAGAAGATCGGCAGTTACGCATTATGAGACCCAGATTCCGTGTCGCTTCGGAAGTGACGCGTGCGACATGGACAGAAAAGTCCAATCTACAGGAAAATGTTACACCAAGATCTTTAGTCTGTTCTCTCCAAACCGCATTACTTATGGACTAATCAAACATAATCGGGTTCATTTTACAACAATATAAACATACTTTGCATTTGGAAATATTTAAGAAGAGAATATTATTGTCGCACCACTGTGTTATGGTACGCAGATCGTCCTGCAGGGGGATGCAGCTCTCCAAATTTGTAATTTTGGTGTAGATTTTCAGATCATCAGCAAATAGTAGAGATTCACTTTTAGTGAAGCGGCTAGATTATTTATGAAGAATAAAAACAGCCAGGGACCTAGGTAAACCCTGTGGTACTCCAGAGGGAACAGTATAATTAGCTGAAGAATAACCATTAGAATAAGCATATTGCGTCCTATTAGAAAGATATGAGCTTAGAAGACCGACTAACGAGTCACTAAGGCCGAAATAATGAAGGCTATCCACAAAAAGGCGATGGTTTAATTTGTCGAAAGCCTTGCTGAAATCCATGTAAATTATATCGACTTGTTTATTGTCTAACGATTCTGCTATATACTGCGTAATTGTCACTAAATCTGACGTAGTGGATCTACCTTTGATGAAACCATGCTGTGATGATGTAATTAGGCTTTCAACGTTCTCGAAGATAAAAGAGTAAATGGCCATTTCAAAAGCCTTTGCAAAGTTGTTCAAAATGCTTATAGCTCTATAGTTGAGTAAATTAGATTTATGACTATCTTTCAGGACCGGACACACCTTTGCTACGTTTCAAACATCAGAAAAAATTCCACTTTTTAATATAGCATTTAGAATTATCAGCATCGGCTTGACGAAAACATGAGCACAATCTTTAATAATAAAACTAGATAATTGATCTCTACCAGATGTAAGTTTATTTGAAGCTTAGAGAGAGACTTCAGCACATCAGGTTCCAATAATTCCTCTAGATAAATACATGGTGTTGAGGTGACGCTATCTAAAGAGGAGTAGCATACACACTCTTTAAATAGTCGGCAAATGCATCAATAACACCTTATCGCCGTACAGTGTGAGAAATATTGTTAGAAGATATAGAGTAATCGGTTCAGTTAATATTAAGCCACGATATGTGAAAAAGGTAATATCGAAATGCCGACCGAAGAGCATTAAGAAGAATACTCGTGAAAAACAGGCGTGCCAATTATTTACAATTAAGTGCTCTGTAGAGTGACGCTGTTGGAAGGAGAATTTCGAGGTCCACAACTCATAGAGAGGCTCACAAACTGGGATTTAGCACTTAGCAAGGTAAGTTTTCTTATAAAAAAAGTGAAGTAAAAACCCTAAAGTTGCACAACTTGTTTATAGGCCAAAGAAAAGCCACTATTAACTCCACTGCAAAAGAAAAATCGGCTTAGATGGGCTAAAGAACATAGACAATGGACACCTCAACAATGGTGTGCAATACAATGGAGTGATGAGGCCCGATTCGAAGTTTGTGTTGGTGACAGTCGCAGTAGAGTTATTCGCAAAAAAAATGAAGCATTCCATGTTGACTATCTGAAGAGGAAAGTGAAATTTCCAGCATCCGTTATGTACTGGGGCAGTATGTTATCAAATGGAGTAGGAAAACTTCATTTTATTGATGGAAATGTTGATACAAACAAATATTTGACAATTTTAGAAGAATCGCTTTTACCAGTGATAGAAGAATGTTTGACATCCGGCCAAGATTTTGTTTTTCAGCAAGATGGTGCAGCGTGCCATACCTCAAAACAGGCTATAAAATGGATGGAGTAAAATAATGTAACACTTTTGAAATGGATTTCTAGCAGTCCAGATCTGTCACCTATTGAAACTTGTGGCACGAGCTGTAAAAAGGTTCTACGACAACATCCTGCTCGTACAATCACCGAACTGAGACAAAAGCTTCAAGAAATATGGGATTGTTTTACACCAAATTTTTGCCAAAACTTGGTTAACACTATGCCCCAAAGAATTTCAGCCGTAATAAAAAATAAAGGTGATGTTACCCAATGGTAATCTTTCAATTGTTGCTTTGTTAACTTCGCGCATTTATTCGCACATTGTTTATGTTCAGATGTTCTATTAGTTATAGGTCTAAGTGATTTCAAATATGTATTTTTTACGACTAGAGTGTATCTAAAACGTTTTTGAGAAAATAAATTGTTTTAGAAGTAAATAATTTCGTCATGTTTAGTTTATAAAGGCATATTTTAGTACAAATCTTGAAGTGGGCCAACTGAAGAGGAAAGGGGCTCGTATATGGTACATATTTGGAGTCGAGAAAAAAACGACTATGATTTTCACTAAAAATATACAAGTTGTTCCATTTGAAGGATACAGCTTTATTTTGTAGCATTTTTTGGACATATTTTGTATATAAAAAGGAAAACCAACAACTTGTAATCGCTTTTATTTGCTTTCAGTCAATATAACAATGACCAACCGCAGACAGCACTGTTGCATGCTCGTTAGAAACTCATCAGTGCGGTATAGGTCTAGTTTTAGAGGCAGACCAATGGGAAGCAAACATAGCGCGTATGGTCTTTTGAAAAGCTCAAAACATCACTCGCAAATAAGTGAACATCTGACGATTGCCGCGTACATATCTGCCAAAAACCGCAAAAAGACTGATCTGTTTAGCCATTATATTAGTTTGAACATTTATTTTATACTCTTAGATTCTGTACATCGTTTTTCAAAGGTTATTTTTCTTGAAATGTCGCACAGCTGTATGTGTACTGATTTCATACAGGAGTTTGTATATGCATTTCTTTACAAGCAATGAAGCGTTTTCTGATGGCTGATGACTGTATAGTATGAAACAAAAAATTTAACTCTTCATGCTGTATAAAAGTTTTTCATTTCTGTTTTTCTTTTCAACTCTTTTCGGATCAAGTTTATTATCTGTAAGGTATCACGGTAGACCTTAGGTCCAAATATTCTAAATAAAGGATTATTGTATTTTCTTTCGGTTGAATGGAAGAGCAGATCTTCTTATACGCTAGTTAGATAGGAATGCTGCCGTTTTCGAGGAACACAGCTTGAATTTGTTTTAGTTAGGAGCTTTATTTGTGATTTTTGCGTGTGCGTATCTGGGAAATAAAAACTATTTGATGAGTGAGTCAGACTGGTTCAAAAAGTGGAAGGTTAGAGGAAAATTAAGTTATTAGTGTAATTATAGTAAATGCCAAGGTCACCATTTGTCAATAATAAAAAATATTAGATTGCGTATTGTTCTTTTATATACTACTGTTAATCTGTTATTAGTTTATATTCATAATAATCAGGATGTAATCCTTATTAATAATTATTTGCGTTAGCTACGGTTATAAACCTGTAAAAAACATCGACAAATACGCACGTAGTTGATTATTTATTTTCCTGTGATCCTCTGACATCAAAAAGTAGTTTGGGATTATTCCAATTTTTCATTCTTGTTTGGTATCGATATGTTATAAGCGCAAGGCACCGCTGAAAGTTGGCAACCCTTTTTTCGAATACGGCTAACGGTCATATGATGGAAGGCACAAGCTTCTTAACAGCAAGACCGGTATTCCGACTTTTAGCATAAGGCCGTGAAGGGTTTCTGATAAGTACTTTCGATCGGAACGGTAGAGCAAAAGTTGTAATACGAATTTTTGATGCAAACGGTGAAGAGAACGCAGATATGATAATAACCTTTCAATCAAAACAATATCGGAGGTGCGCGTTAAGAATTCAATTTACAAACAGTCACATACACATGAAGTTAATGTACCTATAGAACCTAAAAGTATTACTTAAGTGAAAATAAACTGAACTTTAAGGGCCGTGTCGTCAGTCGTTCCTAAATTTGTAAGACACCTGTATAGGCGCCTTGATTTTTATAGTTTTTCCTTTCCTTCAGAGAGACATGAGTATTTCTAGATTTCTACTGCTCCGTGTCAACGTCAACGCTGTCCTATTGTGAGGACTATGTCTTCTTCTTGAATTGTAGGAAATTTCAGGCTGATATAGCAGATGATATAAATCAAAAGCATGAACAATTTGATGGAAATAGATATTTGTGTACCATAACCTCAAAATAGAGCGCTGACACGGAACAGTAGAAAATTATGAAAATCAAGGAGGCCATAAAGGCGTTCTACAATTGTAGGAACGACTGACGGTATGACCCTTGGCAATTAAAATAAGAAAACAATCTAAAAAATGCAGGAAATGACGAAATATTCATGAACGATGAACGCTCGTGATTATTTGCACTTGGCAAATAATGTTGTACGTATCAAACAAAATGATTATTGATCACAATCAAATATACACCGGTGAAAGAATTTTCAAATCGGTTCAGTAGTTTCAGAGATGACTCCCTACAAACAAACTCAAACTTTACCTCTTTGTAATATTAGTGTAGATAACTATTAGTAAAACATACACTTATTGTAATAATGACTTTGAATAATACGACCAATTGTGTTAGTCATTTTTTCATGGTTCATTCTCTTCTTAGGTTCGCTTGAGGACAACACTACAAGTAGGCAGAATCCGTTCTGTGAGAAAAGATGCTAACAGTGAACCATATTTTGGCCCGGAAATGTTAGGCAAATGGTCCTAATATGGACCATTCGGCTCAAAAATAGTGTGGATGGTGCAACGCCGTCAAATGATACCTGTTTAAATAACCCAAATCCTCAAAACATAAAACAGGAATCTGTTTTGCGAAAAATGAAGCCAGCCAGGATCCTGAAAAGTGTCACTTGGGTACCATTGCTTATAGCAACATTTCCTTCATGCCATGTTTTAATCCAGTGCAACAAAATGGAGAGAAGCTCTGATGTATATGCTATCTTCGAATGTACAGATCTTCTGGAAAATGCCCCGAAAAAAAAGCCTACTAGTTGAAGTTGGAATTGCTCAGGTTTAACTCAGCTTACATGTAGCGTCAACAGCCAATTAAAGCCGAATTAATGGCACATTAAGTCTAGCTTCGGACTAACCAACCTGCTCGCTGATCCCGCTCTTGCTAGTGGGTCTGCCAAATAACTTCCATATATCCCGGCATGCCCCAGTACCTAAGCAAGCCTGATATGTTTCAAATAAAAACCGTTCCTTTGAAAATATAAGATATCAGCTTTAAGCTTTACTTACCATAACCCATTTGGCGTGCATTTTCAATTGTTGAGATCACAGAACATACAACTAAAAAATACAATTTCACAACTTCACATTCACTAGCTGATGTTGCTCCTACACCATAACGAACAACTATGTTCCTCTTCTGCGGATGAATCAAAAACAAATGACTAATAATCAGTTAAAAATCTAAAATATAGCGCATCGGACATCCACTGTATCTGGTCGGGCAAAGGCGTACTGTAAGGGGTTCGGGGCCCATCTTCAGTTCAGTTCTTTATTATGCAGAAGAAAAATTATGCATTGGATTCATCAGACAAGCAACGTAAAATATTTAGTAATCAACAAATTCAGATACAGTGCACAATTCTACTTCATTAGGTAACCTTTACAAATTTTTGGACCAAAAAGGACTGGACGACTTCTCACTCTTTAAGTATTTTGCAAACGGCAGAAATAGAACATGCCTTTGCCTAGGACAAAATATACTAAGTGACATATAAATCCGAACACCCAGTTTAAATGGTTTTATTTTAATAAAAGTTGGTGAATGTATTTATCTTACTGTAAATAACACGTGAAAAAGTTTTCAGCCTTATCAGTTGGACATTCCGGTTTTTATACTGCTTTTTTTTCTAATTCACTAACGCTCTAAAAGTGAATATTTCAGCCGCAGTAAAGAATCAATGTTGGCGGATTTTGGTTCTTGACATCCTTTACGATCGGTTACGATGCCTAGAGTACGGAGACCTGTACGATTTCGTCAACTTAGTGAGTTTGATAGGGGCCGTATAGTGGGACCTCGGGAAGATGGACTTTCTTTTCGGGCAATTGCAGTTAGAGTGCAAAGAAGTGTAGACACTGTGGTTAGGTGTTGTCAGGCATGGCTTCGAGAAGGCCGTACGCAAAGAGCAAGGGGCACTGGACGCCGCCGTGGAACAACAGACCGTGAAGATCGCCGCCTAAGATTATTGGCCTTAAGGGACCGTTTCTCCACTACCAGGTCCATTGCAAATGAATGGTTTGCAGAACACGGAAGACCTATTGGCATGCGAAGTGTTTACCGACGAATGAGAAGTTTTGGCTTGTTTTCATACCGGCCACACTTGGTCCTCCCTTTAACTCGAGAACACCGACGTAATCGCCTTGAGTGGTGCAGACAACGGTCACTCTGGGATCAGGAATGGAACAGTATTGTCTTTAGTGACGAGTCTCGATTTTGTTTAGGCATGCACGATGGTCGTGCCAGGGTTAGAAGGCGACGTGGTGAAAGGAGGAATCCACAGTTTTTTGTTAAAAGACATGTTCATCACACTGTTGGAGTTATGGTTTGGGGTGCTATAGCTTATGGTTCCAGGTCACCTTTAATCTTCATCAGGGGTAACATGAACGCGCAGGGTTATATCCACGAAGTTCTAGAACCCCATCTTTTACCCTATCTTGACACCCTGGCAGATCCAACTTTCCAACAAGATCAAGAGTCACAATAGACTTCTTTCAACATAATGATGTCACATTGTTACCATGTTACCATGGCCACCAAGATCTCCCGACATATCCCCAATTGACCACGTGTGGGATATGATGGGTAGGAGATTGCTCAATTTGCAACGTCCTCCTCAGACTCTAGAAGCACTTCGAGAGGAGTTGGTAGTTGCCTGGAATGAGATACCACAGGAGGACATTGACCACCTGATCAGAAGCATGCCTAGGCGCGTTGGAGAATGCGTCGCACATCAGGGTAAATCCACACATTATTAAAAGGTCAAAGGGCTTCAAAGCAGTGCAATCATTTTGAAATTTTTATCATTTACTTATTATGCTTCATTAAGTACTTATAACAAATTTTTATCAAAATAAAACCATTTAAACTGGGTGTTCGGATTTATATGTCACTTAGTATATATGTAGACCTTTGTTCAGCCTGTTTTTGTATACGTATGCCGCCAAATCATATATGAATAAAATGTAAAGCAGACAGCCTTAAGATTTGATAGTGCAGAAAGAGCTCCTTACAGGTGAGTCCGGCCATACACCCTAACACTCTTTTCTGCCTTAAGAAAACCTGACGTGCATTCATAGACGCACCCCAAAAACACAAGGCTACTTGTGCGTAATAAAATGAAACAAAACACTATATCACGGTGTACTTCTACAGTCGAGAATGCATTTTTGAGGCGATCATTATTACAAAAGCTTGCAATCAGCTGTGGCATGTTGCCCTCTTATAAACTTTTTTCTTATGCCTACCAGAAAAGCGTTGATGACCTCAACTCCAGTCGTAAGATATCCGTCGTAATTGACGGGTTCGCCCCCTCATCCCAGTTGTTTCGCAGGATCTCGTTTTGACTTCAAAATATTGTTTTTGTTACTGACGAGTGACGAAGTCACTCCATCCTCCATGTTTTTGGAAGACGTCACTTACATGAAGACATTCCGAGTATCAAGCCAATCTTTCCAGTTGATCAAAACACCAATTCTCGGGATCACGGTAGTAGAATAACGTTAATAGAAAGAAACACTACAACAGTATTAAATAATTTCGTGAATACACCGGTTCAAACAGGCTCTTCATATATAAATGTTTCATCGCAACGTTAACTTTGTCTTTAGAGATTAGAGTGAGAGACAACGGTGATATTCCCGCAGCTTTTCTCCCCAGAATGGTCTGGGGAGTGATTCCTTTATCAGTGTTACAGAATGCAATTTCGCAAAAGATTGACCCGCAGTCAGTGAATTCTGTTTTTTTTTTCATAATAAGTAAAGATTGGCTGCATCAATGTAAGACATATACATTTGTAGAATCAGAACTAAAAATATATTCACTTGTGAACAAATCCAATATGGCGTCGATAAGAAACAATAAGTTTAATGGTTGAGAACAGGAGAAGAAATGGAAGATCGTTCTAATTATGGCATCATGTAGAGGAGGAAAAGTGGCAATGTATAGTACCTGCACTTTTCATTTTGAGATACCATCCCAAAGTTCTTTCGACTATTTACGGAAATAAATTGTGAAACCTTGAAAATGCCTTTTTTTAGTTATCTTAGGCCCGTATCGTCAGTCGTCCCTACAATTGTAGGGCGCCTTTATGGCCTCCTTGATTGTCATAGTTTTCTACTTCTCCGTGTCAGAACCCTATTTTTAGATTATGTCACAAACATCTATTTGCATCAAATTGTGCTTGCTTTTGAGCTATATCATGTATTATCAGCCTGAAATTTCCTACAATTTAAAAAGAAAACATATCTTCACAATAGGAGAGCGCTGACGCTGACACGGGACAAGTGTAATCTAGAAATTTTTGAAGGAGAGAAAGGAGTATGACAATCAAGGAAGCCATAAACGCGCCCTACTATTGTAGGGACGACTGACGATACGGGCCTAAGGATCGTATCGTCAATTGTAGGATGCCTTAATGAACTCCTTGATTTTCACAGTTTTCTACTGTTCCGTGTCAGAGCTCTGTTTTGATGTCATCTTACAAACATTATCAAGTTGTTGATACTTTTGACTTACATAATATATTATATCAGCCTGAAAATTCCTACAATTCAAAAAAGAAAACAGTTTCACAACAGAAGAATGCTGACGCTGATCCGGAACACTAGAAATCTAAAAACATCCCAGCCTTGTTGAAGGTTAGAAAAGACTATTAAAATCAAGGAGGCCATAAAGGCGCCCTACAATTGTATTAACCACGTACGATACAACCCTAAACGCACAAATCAACTTCGTATCTGTTACTGAGATCCTATTAGCGAGACTGGAGTTTGATACACGCTCTATATACAAACATGTCTACGGAAGACAAATACCTTTGGTACGAATTTTAGCGCGATGCTACCCACCATCACAAAAAGCTGCAAAGCGTTTCCGCGATGGGATTCCTGGTAGACGATCGAGGGGTTTTTGTGAGTCGGTTTTGAAGAATATCAGATTTATGGCAGAATAGAATGATATAAAGAATCTTTCCAGTTTTCCGCCTGAAACTATCTTCACAAGCTTTACCTGTCTGTGAAAAGTTGATTTAATGTTAATCTCTTATAAAGCTCGGGGCCCCTACGCCACTGGCTGGCTCAGGCCCATATAGCGTGCTTCCGCTGTACAAGACATGGGTCACTGTTTCCTAACCTTGGCTGAAAAAGTGGAGAGAGGAAAAGAGGTATATGGCATGGCAGGTAAATTGATAATCGGACTGTCGGTCTGGTATCCTCCACGTAAAAGAGTGAAAATTTAATTGGATATCACCGACTGTAATTCATTGTTTGCATGGTAATTTTGTCCAACAGATTCGATAATGGAATATTTAATTTTAATTTCACGAAGGTCCCTTCGCGTTACAATGTGTCGTAAATCGCATTCAAGCGTTTGCATACAAGGGATAATCCGTTTGAAAAAAAATAAGGAGAAAATCTAAAAGTAAGAGGTACTGAAAGTACGTTGCAACACAAATGCCGAGAGGAAGAACAATTGGTGCATGAATTGAGGCGAGGAAATATTGGTAATTTCATGACAAGTAACATAAGACACAACAGTCGTATTAGTTTTTACTCTGATATTTTCATGATCTCAATACTCATACCTATATAAAAGATAGTTCGATACATAAGATGTCACCACAAGAGCACAAATATATGGACGTTTCTGTTTTCTACCAAAAATTGTCCTAAACTGTCCCCTTAAAGTGAAGTTAAGTTTATTTACCAAAAATAACCATAATGTTGTAAAATGAATATGAAAGCGTACACAGTTTAGAATGATAAACAAACAGGAAACACACAGAAACCAACTTGTGTGTTTACATTACATATTATATACATATAAGTATTAATCTGTTATGGATATCATAGATATGGATATAGCGCATTTATTAAAATTGCCAGTCTATTGCTAATACTGTAAAAATAAAAGTCACTCAGGTATTTCACTGCAAAACAATAAATTCCACAATATTGGTCATAAAATCGTCTACTGTCGGTTAATTTTACATTTACAGAGAGAAAATGAATAAGAAGACAGAGTAAGTATACAGACATCACAGCAACAGTTTGTATACATTTATGAGACCTATACAATCAGCACAGATATTGTATTCTGTAAGTTTTGCCTAGGAGTATGTATTTGAGATCCACAACGTAAGTTCTTTCTTGAACA